AAACGTCAAAAGCACCTGCACGAAAGCAAAAATTGACAGATGAGATTTAATTAAACTAAAGAGCTTCTGCATAGCAAAAGAAACTATCATCAGAGTGAATGGGCAATCTACAGAATGGGAGAAAATTTTTGCAGTCTATCCATCTGACAAAGGTCTAATATGAGAATCTACAAGGAACTTAAACGACTTTACAAGAAAAAAACCAACCCCATTAAAGTGGACAAAGGAGGTCAGGCACGGTGGCTCATGTCTGTAATCCCAACACTTTGGGAGGCTAAGGCAGGCAGATCACTTGAGATCAGGAGTTCAAAACCAGCCTGGCCAACATGATAAAATCCCATCTCTAATACAAATACAAAAAATTAGCCATGTGTGGTGGCGGTCACCTGTAATCTCAGCTACTTGGGAGGCTCCAGCATGAGAACAGCTTGAACCCAGGAGGTGGAGGTTGCAGTGAGCCAAGATAGTGTCATTGCACTCCAGCCTGGGTAACAGTGAGACTCCATCTTCCATCTCAAAAACACAAACAAAAAACAAAAACAAACAAACAAACAAACACTTAGGCAAAAGACATGAACAGATATAAGAAATAACAGATAAGAGAAATAAGACATTTATGTGGCCAAAAAAACTTATGAAAAATGCTCAAATTCATTCAATCATTGGAAAAAATGCAAACCAAACCCACAATGAGATACCAACTCACACCAGTCAATATGGTGATTATTAAAAAGTCAAGAAACAACAGATGCTGGTGAGGCTGTGGAGAAATAGAAATGTTTTTACATTGTTAGTGGAATGTACATTAGTTCAACCATGTGGAAGACAGTGTGGCGATTCCTCAAAGACCTAGAACCAGAAATACTATTTGACCCAGCAATCTCATTATTGGGTATATGCCCAAAGGAATATAAACCATTCTGTTATAAAGATACATGCATGTGTATGTTCACTGCAACACTATGCATAATAGCAAAGACGCGGAATCAACTCAAATGACCATCAATAATATACTAAAGAAAATGTGGTACATATATATACCATGTAATACTATGCAGACATTAAAAAAATTAGATCATGTCCTTTGCAGGGACCTGGATGGATTTGGAAGCCATTATCCTCAGAAAACTAACACAGAAATGGAAAACCAAACCCTGTATGTTCTCACTTACAAGTGGAAGCTGAACAATGGGAATACATGGACACAGGGAGGGGAATAACACACACTGGGGTCAGTTGAGTGGGGCAGGGAGAGGGAGAGCATCAGGATAATTAGCTAGTGTATGTGAGGCTTAATACCTAGGTGATGGATTGACAGGTGCAGCAAACCACCATGGCACATGTCTACCTATGTAACAAACCTACACGTCCTGCACATGCATCCCAGAATGTAAAATAAAATAAAATAAAAATAAATTTTTAAAAAGAGAATAACAAATAAGAATAGCAGGGGAAAGCATTATAAAGATATAGTCAGCAATTAAAGAATAAGAAAACAAAACTTTGATAACTGCTTATTTTAAAGAAAATATTAACTAGATAAGAAAACACAAAGTAAATTTAGAGATGCAAGAGCAAATATAATCATAGGCACAGATGAGATATTTTTATAGTATACTGAAATAATAGTCTTAAATTTTTGCTAATAAATTCAAAAACTTCAATGAAGCAGAAATTTTTCTAGAAAAATATATTGGCAAAATTGACAGAATAAAATCAGTGGAAAAAACTTATAGAAGATATGGAGAAAAATGGTCATAGTTCTATTTCACAAGAGGGCTTGGAGAAGATGACAACTTCCAAATTTAGTAAAAAAGATGTGTCAGGATAATATTCTTAACAATGAGAAAATAATAAAATGCTTAGAAGTTTAATTTTATAAGGCTAATATAACTCTATCATGAAAAACTCACAAAATAACAAAAATAAAGCAAAACAAAAATAGTCTTTGTACATTCAAAACTTGTAATGAACAATAATATTTGACTGTTCCCTGCTATATTTCCAGTTTTAATATCCATTACATAAATAAATGAATGCAAAAGAAAAAATTTTAAAAATACTAACAAATTGAATCTGAATTACATGTACAGAAATAAACATGATGCCAAAATTGATATATTCTAGAAATTCAATGATTAGTATAATTCAACACACAAACTGAACATAAGTATTTATAAAGGGGAATTAAAAAATTTAACACACTTTTTATTAACTTTTTTAATTAATAAAATTTATTAATGTAAGACTAGAAAAATATTTATTCAGTATGATTAAAAATTCTATTTCAGAGAGAAGAAAAAGTATTCCATGAATTATACCTCTTTTGTTAACATGTTAGTTATTGAAATCATGGAAGAAAAAAATACATACAAATAACAAATAAAATTATCTTCATTTTCTTGTAACATGATATTTGACTTGAAAAAAATAATCTTAGAACTAACAAGGACTGATTGGTTAATAAGTATAAGACAAACTGAAATTAAAATATTCAATAGGAAATGCAGCTAAAAAAGATAGTTGGGAGTGAAGATAATGTAATGAAACTGAACTGGGTTCTGGATATAATCAGTTTATGTTATTAATAATATGCTTATTAAACTATGAAGCATACAGGACTGGATTTCAAAAAAAGGATGGATCTACATGGTTCTAGTCCTGGCATATTACTTGGCAAAAATAAGTTCTGAACAATTATTTGTTGAGTAAATGAAAAAACCTATTTGGGAAGTAGAGAATAAGTAGAAGAAAGAAAAAGTAGAAGAATAAACAAGATAATGCTAGGCCCATGAAAAGTCAAAATACATACATACGTATATAAGAGAACTTATATATCACATGCTACATGGGAGTCAAACAGTATGAACCCACAAATATAGTTCACTTCATTGCCAGGAAATCATTGTTGACTTTAAAATATATAATACTAGTTGAGAGGGACAAAGAGAAGGCAAATTATAAAAAGAACCTCGGTGATGACTTTTCAAAAGGAGGTAACAAGCATAGACCACTTTTTCAAAATGTACCCCCTTATGGCTAAAGTTCATAAGCCATAAAAGCTGCAAGAGTATCTCATCAACGGATACAAATCCTCAAAGTGAAAAAGAATCTCACTGCTATCTTTCCTCAGAATTGTATATACAGTTTATTGTTTACAAAGCAAATTTGAAAACACCATTTCCTTCACATCTTAAAACAGCTTAAGCGATGGACAAGACAGTACTGTTAGCTTTCTAATTTAGGTTCCATTTTTTCCCTCAATAATGTAACAGATTCAGAGTTTAAAATTCAAGTGCATAAAATGTTGGAAAAATTTTCCCACACCTTCTCAAAGGCGATCTGTGCTATCAGATTCTTATAACTTTCCAGAGATACTCTTTGCATACATAAACAAGTATTTCTCTATTTTGTAGAAATATTAGTAGCATACTTTTTATTTGAGTAGATTTTGACCAACGTTCAAGATATTAATAGACTTTGCCAAAGATATCTGACAAGAAAATAAAAAGTGGCATGATTATAGCTAGGATACTTCTTGGCACTTAGTATATTGCCTACTACTGCGCCTTGATGAGTTTTCAAAGAGCAATGGGTATGGTCTAATTTATGCAATATATCTGGTCCTGTGAAAACTGAATGCAATTTTGAAATTTTATATAAGATAAATGTAGAAATAAAGCCTAATTTCTTTTTTTTATTTTTTATTAACACATAATAATTGTACATATTTATGGGGTATGTGTGATATTTTGATACATGCATACAATGTGTAATGATCAAATGAGGATAATTAGGATATTCATCACCTCAAACATTCCCCATGTCTTTGTGTTGGGAACATTCATCTTCAATTCAGTCATAAATACCAACTCTAATAGTTGGAAATTTCAATCATCATTTCCTTATTTAATGAGATTTAGAGAAGAACTTGTATTCAAAATGAAAGACATTTTAAAACTTTTCAGAATATACTTCTGTAAAATAATCATCCCTCAATTATCTATCTTGAACACTGCAATTTTGAACATTAAGATTTTATAAAGTTGCCCAAATCTACACTGTGTGTTTTTATTCCCAGACATCTTGTTTAGTCATTATGTGTGAATGTTTCATCACCCGACCACTGTCAAATAAAATGTAATTATAAATATAAACCACAAAATATTGTTTTGAGTGTCTTCTCTTTCATTGATTCATTTTAAGTTTTACTGGTAAATGCAAAAGGTATGAGTAGTTTGTTAATCACTTTTCAAAATATCTTCTGCATATACTTACAGCATGTATTACGTAAATCACAGTACATTACTAATCTATTTTGTTATATCTATTATGAAAAATTAACATTTTTGAAACAAAAATAGCAGTATGTTCAAGTGGAGAGCTAGAGTATAATGCTCTTAACAGAAAAGAAGAGAAATATTTAAAGCTATATGCTGAAAATAACAATGTGTCAAATTTTCAACCATCTCGAAAAGAACACCACAATATTTACTTCACAAAATAATAAAAAATACGAAGCTGTTGCTTTTTATCCCACTGATTTACTCCTTGTGTTGAGAAAGGATTATCACATTCACACTACTGACATGATGAATATAATAAATAAAATAAATCTCCGTAAGAAATTACGTTCCAAATTGTGAAATACTAATGTTTCAGAGTGCAAACAACTTGCATGAAAAAACGTGATTAAAGAAACCAAATCCTTCTATTAGCTGCACTGAACCCCTAAAGCAATTTAGGAATTTGTTTCTTACAGACAATTAATCACATGCAGGCATGCCAGATGAGAACTATTGATTGCCCTTTTCCAGGCTAGTGGCATTCAGACAGTAGACAGACAAATGCCCTAAGCAAGGGGAAGCATCTTTCTGCTTCTGCCTGGTGTAGCTTTTAATTGTTCTTTCCTAAAATGCGTGACATTTGCTGTTAATCTTTGCATAGAGCTTACTCCTCTCTTTTTGCGCAGTACACAGATAGGTGTTTTTCTCATTTACCTTTACACCAAGGTCCTTCATTAACTCAATCTCAAAATTCACTACATCATATGGCAGCCGGAACTGAGGGATTTCAGAAGTACTGAAAAAAAAAAAAAAAAAAAAGGAAAAGAAAAACAGGCATCAGTAGAAAAATGACCAATCTTAAAAAAATGTAACATGTCTTCACGGACTAGTAGTAAATAAATATCTCCTCTAAGGATATTTATATATCACATAAGATATGCATGAGGACATCTACATTTTTATTGACATAAAAACATTACATGGAGTGAAGATACAGTAGAAATTGATATGAAAATAACTAAGTTACAGCAATAGAAAATGATAAACATAAAACTGGCCAAAAGAAATTTCAATACTTTTAAGTTCAATAAAGTGTTTGGTTGATTTATTTAATAATAATTCTATAAATACTTAAGATAAAAAAAATCTTAAAATCTATTAATAAAGCTAGTTGGAGATACAGATTTTAATATATGTGTACACATATATACTAATATTCATACACATATTCTATAAATATACTTCTAGCTTGCTCAAATGCAAATGTGTAACTGTATTATCATACTGTTTAGAATATTACAAAATCAGTTCCATGTGATCTACAGAATATTTTTACAATAAATTAGTCTTCTGTGAAAGCAAAGAGTATCCCAAAAGGTTCAGTCATGAAAAAACAATCCTATTGTATATTAATGCCTATTGCCTTCATTTAAAAAAACAATCATGAGGTCTATAGCACTATTATTCTAGTAGTATAACAGAGTATTAAAAGTAAGCTCAAGACACTTTCCAATGTTTTGTTAACAATTATAAAGCTATGTATGTGCATGAATACACAGCAATCCATTCATTCATTCGCTGATTCATTCATTCACCTACTCATTAAAAGTGAATAGTGCCAGGCACAGTGTTTACAAAGTGCCAGGTAAGCATAAGCTGCAATGATTTGATGGTGAATTGTACCAAATTCTCACTGTTAATAAGTTATTTTTTCTGATCAGGGAAGGATACATAAAAGATAATTACATTTAGAATGTGGTATGCACAATGAGAGAAGTATAGCCATTATATCTTTAATGTGTGTGTGTGTGTGTGTGTATATATATATATATAATAGCAATTATATTTTAAATATTACAAAGATTAATTTGTTAAATAAATAATTATTGAAGATGAATCTTCTGGATCAATTGAAAAGTCTTCCAAAAGTACAGCCTTTTCATTCTTTGATGACTTAAGAACTTGATTATTCAATTAATTTTTATATATCAATCAGCAAGACATCATGCTCAATGCTATAGAAAATGCAAGGTATCAAACACTATAAAATCAAAGCTGTACACTAAAGGAGCTTCCCTCTAGTTAGAAATATAAGATGATGATTAAGAATGAATTCAAGCATAGGGAAAAGATAAAAATCTCTCAAGACGACTTGTGAAATACCTCAAGGTAACGTGAATGTGCCAGAATGCTCTGGGCACCAAGAAGGCTTCCCCTTCAAAGTCTAAGTAGAAAGGTTCTTAACAACTATGGACATATGTGGACACAAACAGATACCCAGACTTGATAGACATGCGGCTCCATGAGAGAGAGATTAAATATGGACTAAAATCGGGCACTGATGCAGATCCTCAAAAGGTCGAACAGGAAAGCAAAAGCAATGGACTATGAACAAAGAATTACAGCCAAATAAACCAACTACAACAAGATGAGAATCTTAAATACATCCAAATATATCGTGAAGCCGAGAACCTTCCGATGAGTCAGGTCAACTCTTGGATTTTTATGGGATATAAGTAGAAGCACATAGAATAAAAGGGGAAAAAAAATGGTGTGAGTGCAAGCCAGTGGTTCTGACTTAAGAAAAAACTCTGAAAGAGCATTAGAGAAAATAGGGACAACTTTTCTGTTGGCCAGAGAAAAAGAAAGGAAGGAACACCTAACCTAGCAGTAAGAAACCTGAGAAAGGAGGAAGGAGCAGGCACCACCCATGGCAGTATAACTTTGAACAGATATAGGCACCAGAGAAAATGGAAACCAGGCTGCTGGGCTTCAGCAGCTCTGCTTAAAAACCCCACGCTGCTCTGAAACCATTGTCACCAACACTTAGCACAGTGTTAAATGAATAAGTGTGAGAGAATCCATTTCCCAGCATCTCCTAAAGTAAATCAGATAAATGTGAAACACTGAGAAATGTGAGTTAGATTTGGTTACACTTAGGTAGGTAGGGGTGGGTGGAAATTACTGATTGTGAAAAATGTGATGTATTTATATTCATTAATAGATGAAGTCAGCAAATAGATGAAACACATAAGCACATACATAAGCAGAACAAAATGACAAATGTAAAACACCAAATCTGAACAAGTGTTTCAAAGGAGGGAAGGCTTATTGTGGGATGATATAAGTGGGTAGGAGAAATGTCTTAGGACTTTAAAATATCATCAGTGTGTGATGGCTTCCACATTTTTATTCTTAAATTCCAGACTTTTACGTTCACTTGGGTGTCTAACAGGTATCTCATATTTGTCATGCCTAACAGTAAGCTTTGGTTCTTGCATCCCAACACTGGTCCTCAGACAACCCCATTTTATGAGTTGCTCAGGCCCCAGACTCAATGTATCACACACTATTCCCTTTCCAGCACCATACCAAGCCCAGATGCAGGCAGTAAGAGAATGTGTTCTTCTTAGACAATTTAAAAACCATTATAAAACTTACTAAAATGGGCCTGTTTTATATTATTTTCATCAGCTATTAATTCTAAATAATATCACCGATATCCTAAACAATGTCTCTGCCAAAAAAAAAATCTCTGGTGGGTCTAAATTCTAAATAATAGCCATAGTTGTTTTTGAGTTTTAGTAATATATATGTAAGCTTTCAATGATCCCGTTTTTATTACCAACTCTTTAATAAACATTGTGTTCTACAGGAAAGTTAACTTGCAGAACTACAGTTAAATAGAGGCCATCAGCACCTGCTGATTCAGCTACAGGCATTCCTCATTCCAACTCCCCGCAGGCGACATATGCCTCCACTCTGTGATACTACAGATTCCAATATGTGAAAAGTTGATTTGGAATAGATAAAATGATAGGACATGAAGCAATATGAATTACTTCAATTCTGTCATTTTGTATGATCACATGGAATTTTTGTGTTAAAAATTGAAAATAGCTATATCCTTAATATTAAACTAATTTGTTTTAATCATTAATTTTTTGTTTTACAGGAATAAATTAAAAATAATTATTACTGGTTATTGTATGATTCTTATGGAATTTTATTGTATAGACCAGAGGATAGCATGTTAAAAAAATCTATTCTGAGTACCTAGTATACTAGGTATACTACTAATCCATCATTTTTTTAAAAACTTCCTCCTTTATCATCACCTAATATATTCTATATTTGGTTTATTGTTGGTTTATTGTCTGTCTCCCCATGACTAAAATATAGGCCCCATGAGAAGGCACTTTGCCTTGTTTACTTTTATGCTCTAACTAGAGCCAGAAATCATGACCAGCTCATAGTCAAGTGATTGATACATATACTGAAGGAAGGAATGGAGGGAAGGAGAAAGGGGAAAATACAGGTAGATATTAGGTCTTGGAAGGGTTTTTATGCCAGGCCAGATCCGTTATCTCTGAGGTTAGGAGGAGTTGTTGAAAGGTTTCAAGTGGAAGAGTAATAAAATCAGATTTGGAAACTAAAGGAAGAATGAATCTGAAAAGACAAATCAGGAAGGAGGTTACTACAGTGGTAAAGAAAGTGAGAGGTGGCCCGGCGCAGTGGCTCACGCCTGTAATCCCAGCATTTTGGGAGGCCAAGGAGGATAGATCGCTTGAGGTAAGGAGTTCAAGACCAACCTGGCCAACATGGCGAAACCCCATCTTTATTAAAAATACAAAAATCAGCCAGGCGTGGTAGTGCATGCCTATAGTCCCAGCTATTTGGGAGGCGGAGTCAGGAGAATCTCTTGAACCCGGAAGGTAGAAGTTGCAGTGAGCCTAGATCTCACCACTGCACTCCAGCCAGGGTGAAAGTGCCAGATCCAAAAAAAAAAAAAAAAAAGGAAATTGAGAGGTAAAGGATATCAGAGGACATTTTTTTACAGTGTTTGTAAAACGGAATTGCCAGGATACTAAAGAGTAGCCCAGATAATCCTCATTTTGGTGATGCCATCCCCTGAGATGGCAAACTCAGGAAGAGAAGCAACATTGATCATTGATAAGAAGTTTATGAAGAGAGATCTAGGATTTGAATGTACAAATCTGTTGCTCAGAATGGAGAAAGAGGTCAGAGCAGATAGGGATTTTTAAGAAATTTGCATGTAGGTAGTAATTGAAACTAGGAGAGTAAATGAGATTACTCTGAAGACTGCATGGTGAGAAAGGAGATAAAAAGACAGAAGACAGAATTTAATAGGAATGATTATTTTCCAAGTTTGTTGTGCTTAGGAAAACAAACTTTTCTTCTATCTCTGATCCTGTAACAATCTAAGGTTTTGAAAAAAATTTTTCTTGTAATCATAAATCCTTTAGTATAGTCAGTGGAATGTCAAGACAACATGAAAAAAAAATCTTTCTTCTATTTTCATGTTTCTTTCATGTAATGAAATGTATCTATAACAACTTTCCATTCTTTTTAAAGCACAATTCTCATACTCTGACAGAGGTATGCTTCAGTTCATTACCATATGGATAATAGACTTTAAATTTGTATTACATCACACATTCTCAAAATATTTCCTATTGCTATAACTATTTCACCTAGACTCCATTTCTCTTTACTGTCAATCAACAAGAAAAGTAATAGGCCTAATAAAAACGATATAAAATTTGAAAGAGGTAAAGCAAAGGGCAGCATTGGCCTCACTATCCTTCCTAACAATAACATCAAAATTCTTATATATTAATTTATAAGCAAAAAAACAGAAAGTATATATGTGCATACATTCTTAAAAATCTCTTAACACTATTTTGTTTATCTTTGTTATAATATCAAACCCTTTTAACCCTGTTAAACTCGTGCCCTGATAAAAGAAGCCACTGTTAGAGGAAAGTAAAACTACTGATTATTTTATAAATTTGTTGCAACATTAAAAATAATTGATGTGCTCAATGCAATAGATATTAATCCTAGATATTTTTCACTGACTCTAGCGATTTCTTAAAAAGTTGTTGTGATACTAATTCACCAGGGATAAAAGAATCTGTTTGGATGCAAAGCAGAAGGAAAGATAAAACTTGACATTACTTCCTTAAGCAATTGATTTCAAATACAAAGCTAATTTAATCTTTTTTAGCCACTTTGAAGACACAAGAGAATAAGAGGCAATCATAAGTAGAAAATAAATTAACAGGAAAGTTTTGTGATTGTAATTCTGGCTAAATTCCAGCGTCAGTTTTTATAATCCTGTAACAGCGACACAGAATGCCTTTGCCATGGGACAGTACAAATGAGATTGATTAAATATTTCATATTGTCTCTACACACTGAAAAGATTCAAAGCCAAAAGAAAAAATTTAACAACTTTAAAAGAAAAACCACCATGTTTGGTCATGAATCCAAAGAAGTCTGTCCTCACTAAAACATGTTCAGCAAATAAATTTAAAAAACCAACATTAGTACTAATTTATATTAATTACAAGTATCTATCCTGCATTTGAGTTAAAAAAGAGATAGGCTAACAACAGTAATCTTCTACCAAAATTGGCAATACAGAGTAATTGATAAACAGGGTGGGTTCCATTTTAGCCCTTTTGTGAAAATGCAATCAAGTGGCAAAGAGATTTTTCCCAGCTTACCAGGATGCAAAATTAAGTTCATATTTTAAAAGTTAACTCAGATATTCACTGATGTGTATAACTGAAAAAAAACATACAATGCTTATACATATATTGTTAATAGACTATGTCTTTTTCTAATTAATAAAGCTGTGGTAAATGCCATTAACATGATAGTCTAAATCTTTCCAGCGAAACAATATATAGGACATTTTACTTTCCAGAAAAATAAATTCATAAAATACATGTAATCTTTTGAAATTCAGAGTAGTGGAACATCAATACAGAAGAAAAATTATTTCTTAACAATCAGGTTGTTTATGTTTCATATCCACACTAAAGGGTCTTCCTAGTATGTGATATTTTTGCTTGATGATTCAGTCAAGTAAGATTATATTAATGATAGCTTATACATCAATATTTATGTCAATAAACATCTCAACATATTTCTATCAATGATACAAATAATTGATAATTTTGTATTATCTTGGGCTTAGCATATTGTTGTTTGAGTAATATTGAAATTTATACATTTATTAACATATATTCAGAGGTGCCAAAAAACGTAAGAAACTTCACAAATTTTAGTAACAACTTGATTAAATTTATCCTCTGTGATTATTGGGTATGATTAATTCATTGGTTACACATAGGGCAGTAGCCATAACAAATTTAAATGTTAAGCATAGAAACAGATTTTTATAATCCATGATTTTTTAATAGTATATGCAGGGAAAATAAAAATCAATTGAGTAATATTATTCAGTTACCATCCAAATTCTTTACTTTGTATCAAATGTTTTAGGCAGTATCTACTCCCTAATCATAATAAATTTTATTTCTTTATGATAATGAAATATATGTCTAGTATAGAGTTCTGTTTATTTCCAATGTATATTCCCATTCCCATGTATAAATCTTCATGGGAATGGTATGATTACATGATTTTAAAAATGTTATATTTAAATACATTTCTAGTAGTCAAAAGTAAGACTTAAGAAATTTTAAACTGAAAATATGTAAGACAACATATCTAATTAGACAACACAATGAATAGTCCAATATTCCATGGAGCTAGGTTTTCCCCATCACTAATATCCATGATTTTCAGGTATATCTCCATTAAAAGAAATATTCACAGGGCTAAAACCATCTTTCATATGGTTGGTTCTCATAATCAAAAAATAATTTGCAGAGATTTCTCTTAAATTCACAGAACTAGAGAGAAAATTTCTTAAATAAATATTGCTTCAAGCCAACTGCAAATTTTAAAGTGAATAATGTAATCAAAATGTGAACATTTGGAAAAAGAACATTTAAAATACCATCTGTGAGCCTGAAGTTTCTATATGATCATGAACCAACAATATTCATAATTGTTTTGCTCCCTCATTTCTGACACTATAAACATGAAATAAATGTAGGCATTACCTTAAACCACCAACATATTCTTGTTTTTCAAATATAGTGATGTCAGAGTACCCCAATCGAGCCAAAAAGGAAGCACAACTTATACTTGCAGGCCCAGCACCAAAAAGAGCAATCTTTGCAGAATAGGCTTCAGACATTTTTTCTGGGGGAGGCAGGGACGGATTTCTGATCTGTGGGATACTCATTGCCTTGAATACCTATGGAGAAATCAATTGCCATCGTTAAAATTTTGAAACTAGCTTACATCCTCAAACATATTTTTAATGTTTCAAATTAATTCTTGTTTTAAATAGCAATGAGCAATACATTTTCAGTATTAATATGGTATACTTACAACTTTTATTGTGTCAACTAGATGAGGATTTATGGCTAACTCTCAATCTTTCCTTTCTAGAGTCATGCCTCCTCTAGGAAACACTTCTGGGGCACATTCCCTACTCCCACCTAGAGGGTAAGTTAAGTGCATCTCCTCTAAGCTCCTACAGCATAATCCATATGTCTCTACCATAACCACTTACCAACCTATCTGTGGCATGTATTATGTTTCCACGTCAGTCAGTAGAATGTTACTTCCTTGAATCAGAAAACGTGTCACATCACATGTAAACACATTACCCTTGCATTAGAGGAGTTAGCATTACCATGGCACACAGTAGACATTTAACAAATAATTTCTTGAATTCTGCTTTTGATGATGATAGATTAACTTTGGGAGAATAATGATTTAAAAAAATAGTTGAAGCATTCAATAACTACTGATGCAGGCATCTTGGAAGGGCTAACATCTCAGAGAGAAAGTAAGAACGAAGTTAGGTGACCAGAAGTCACTTTTCCCCTGAGGGATTTGCCACTTCTTACCAAAGGAAGGAAGGCTAAGAATCTTGAAGAGAACCACAGCTCAGAAAAGAGATGTTGGCAGTCTTTTGAAACCAGAGAGACACAGAGTTTTGGAAATGTAGGAGGCCATTAACCTGGAGCAAAATAAAGTGCAGAAAAGTGAGCTTAAATCTTAAAGTGCATACGACAAAAACCTAAGGAAATAAAGAGAAAACCAGATGATCCAGGAAAAACAAAAACTGGAGTAACTAAATAAGAAAGAGCCCTAGTAAATACCCCAGCGTACAGCTGAAGCTTCTGGAGGGCTACACTCTATAAGTAGGGCAAATGAGGGGTAAACAGCCAATCCAGCCTTGTCAACTCGGCCCTGGATTTAAATGACAGTAATCAGTCCTCACTCTTATCTATCTACCAAATGATAGAATACACTTTCTGTGAATAATAAGTCAACCACAGTTTCTACAAATTTTTTATAAGATGTTTGGGTTTTTATTTTAAAAAGTCCAAGCCTGCAAGAAAAATAAACCTAAAAAAATTGAAAGGGATACATACATAATCTAGTAAGTGTGGTTATCAAATGTAAATTTTAGAATAACTATGATTTATATGTTCAAAAATATATAAGAAGAATGTAAACTTCAATACAAAACTGGAATTTGTTAAAAATAAAAAAAATTAAATTTACTAAGTACATTTAGTAAAATATATTTAGCAAAAATCATTAACTAGTTACTGTGGAAGGAAGGAGTGGGATTTAAAAATATATTATCAAAATGTATTAATTAAAATTATTATAAATAGGTGGTAGAGGGTGGGAAACAAAAAAAATGGTAAGATGGTAAATATAAACATAAACATCAGAAATTATATTAAATGTAAATGGACTAAAATTCCAATTGAAAGACAAAAGTTATGGAAGACAAACACCTTAAATGTAAGAGCACAGATAGATAAGTGTAAAGTTAAAGACTAGACAAAGTTATACAATGCAAACACTAACCAAAAGAAAGCTGGTACATATATAACAATATTAGAAATATTAGACTTTAAGGCAAGATGCACTACTAAATTTGAAGAACATTTCATAGCAAGGAAATGGTCAATCTTTCAACAAGATTTTATAATTCTAAATCTATAGGCTCTAAATTACAATTTTAAATATATAAAGGGAAATTGATAGAACTAAAAGCAGAAGAAATAAATCACAAAGGTCTCATTATTCTACTCTTATCAAAACTTGACTACCAATAGAAGTGGCCAATGAATAAATCCATATTATAGGTAAGTTATTTATGCTATCTAATGGATTGGCTCACAGAGTTGTTTGCATTTAATAGGTCAAAGCAGTAACTTTCTCTCCTGGAAACCCAGAGAGAGATCGATAGATATAAATATAAGTTTTCTTAAGAGTGAGGAATAAAGGTGACATACTTTACATTTTCTTAACCTCATCCCACATGTACCACCAACTACTGTAAATAAAGTCAAAACACATAAGGCACATCCAAATGGTCTTATTTAAAAAAAAATTAAAGAGGGTATTATCAACAAGTATTATAGGGTCAATTTCTCAGCATGAGATGAACGGTGCTGATAAGTGGTCTCATAATATTTTGTCATTTTCATTCTAATAATTTGTAACATTTTACTGGTTTACTTATCTGTTTCCTCTCTTAGACCATAAATTATTTAAGGGAAGACAACATCTTTGAATTCATATTTTAGTATTCAGTGTTTTTACATATAAGGGGGAATATATGTTAATTAATGAGCTTAAATTGATAATATAACAATTTATTCCCAGCTACAATTTGCATTATTTACAAATTATTAATATGTGTTCCTTCTCTTCCCTGTGCTATCCAAACAGCACAGATTTTCTTACATATTATTTTTTAATCAACACATATTGTTATCTTTTATTCCTTTCTAAGCAACATGAACAGGGAACTAAATTCCAGTCTTAAATTAATAAATGATTTTATATGACCATTAATTAAAATGTAGTTAAAATATATTTTACATTTCCCCAAAGAAAGGTTTCACATACTTTTCATAAATATTTATTTTATTAGATCATTAATTAAAATGTAGTTAAAATATATTTTTTATATTTCCCCAAAGAAAGATTTCACATACTTTTCATAAGTATTTAAAACATACATTTAACGTGATCAAGGATCTCTGATCAGGAAACACAGATACAGCTAATTTCATTTAGGGATTAAATAAATACTAATTTATTTCATATTTAGTTAAATAATTTTAGCTTTGTGAACTAATAATTAAATATTTAACTTTCCCATGTTAAAATCTGCTAACATTTACAAATAACACTGCATTTTAACAAATCTTAAATGAAGACGTTCATGATTTAAGTATCATTTATATATGACATCTTTTACAATGGAAGCAGATTTAATATGACTACTAAGAATTGTTTTAGGCTACAGCATTCATTATAATGTGAATAACCCTAGTGTGATAATCAAATGGAATAGAATTTGTGCTCAGCATTCACTCAGGAGCAAGAAATAGGTAAGTTTTGAAACACCTGACATATCTGACACAAATTCTAGGTAATGGCATGCAAATAATAAAGTAGAAATTACCAAATAATAAACAATACGTATGTATCGTCACCTAAAATATTTTAATTTTTTGAATAAAACTTTTAAGCCTTCTTTTAAAAAAATTATCAAATGCAAACATTGAATGATTTTAAAAAATGTTTACTGAATCCCAACTAAGTACCCAACACAGAGTTAAAGACTCTTAAAGTGTTTTAAGAAATGAAAGCAAGCACACTCTTCAGTACACTCAGTATCATGAGCACATACTAGAATGTAAATTGTTAGCCCCTGATTTGCTCAACCCCAGGCACCGCAGCTTAAGAGTTGTTCAATACATGCTCATTACATTGCTTGGCTCAATAAACTAATCTATCAATTGGTATCCCTTTGCCTGCTCTGTTCTGGGATTTTTTCTTTACAACCTTTTATTGCACTGGGTTTTCCCCCTGAGTTTTACAGGAGTTTGGATTAACCTTGATGCAATTTTTAAGGTAGTAAATAATTGAATCACACTTTTGTGAATTTCAGCACAACAGGTGGTATATTTTTAAAAGTATGGCATTGAAACTAGACTCTTGGGGTTGAGTCTTGACTTCCATCATTCTCATGATGTATGGAATTGAACAAGTCCTTTAACATTTCTACACCTCAGTCTCCTTAATAAGGTGGGATTAATAAAATATATTTCATAGAGAGGCTTTGAGGATTTAATGAGCTAATTATATCTTGAAAGTGCTTTAGGAAACTGCCTGCCCATACAGCAAATGTTATTCTCATTTCACCTAGCATTCAAATTCCATGAGACAGAATGTATCTAAACTCATAGTGTCCAAGACGGAATCCACTAGCCACATTTGACTAACTTCAAATTAAAATTAAAATTAAATAAAATTAAAAATGCAAAGACCTCAGTAGCACTAATCATATTTCAAGTGCTCAATAACTACATGTGGCTAGTGGATAATACATTGAACACATCCATTACTGCAAAAATTAAAATTTCAAACATATGATGCAATAGATATAAATAATCTCATGAGCATAATTAATGGGAAATAAATAATTTAGAGGCAGTGAGTTTGTAGTCTTTGTTATAGTTATTTTAATATGATTTTTATGACTACATGTTTATATACTTTAATTTTTCACAATTACTGTGTTTCACAACCCATTTACAAAATTCCTAAAAATTTAGTCAGTACTAGAGCTGGTCCAAGCTGGCTTCAGCACACTATTGCACCTAGGTAATACGTCAGCACTCATTCAATGTTTTTTTAGCCACTAATATTCTTCTATCATCAACCCTAAATTCTGAAATATATGTTACATTTTCCAACTTAATACAGACCTGAAGGCATAAGTGGTCCTCTACCCCTTTAAAACATCAGCAACTAATTCTTTTTTAACTGAAATACAAATAATGGATTACTTCATGTATACACAGTATACTTCCATGAATGTAGCCTAATTCTGACAAAATGAGAGCAAATGGACAAAAAGCCAAATAAATCACTCCAAAAATATTTTGTGGGTGAATGGGGGGTAGAGATTTGTATTTAAGTATATTATGAAACTATGAAAAGTGAAATCAATTATAAATCTAGAGTTGGCATTTTATGAAAAATATAAATTAAAGTAACTAATAATGTAACACTTTAAACTGCCAATGAATAGATTGTGTAAGTTAAAAAAAAACAGAGAATTAACTTAATTTTGTTAAAATTAAAAATAAAAGTTTGGAAAAGTTAGTCAATTAAAACAAGTTATACAACTCAAAATGTCCATAA